AATTCGGGACGAAATTGCTTTTTACTGAATTCTGTCGAAGAGTTTTTAGTACGTTTAAACTAACTAATTTTTGGAACATCTCAATAAAGCTGAAGCAGTTCCAATCGATTTTTGAGAATCGATTCTGTTTTAAAAGGTTAGTCAATGTAATTCTTATAGTTCTGGATCATCTGGTCCAGGATTTAATGAATTTCGAGTTAGTTGGACAGTTCAGTAGGCGAAATTTCGGCAACGGTGAGGAAATTCAGTATATTTGATTAAAGATTGTTCGCTCTTAAATTTCCAAGGCCTCTTTGTCTGCGGGTAGTATTAAATTTCCCGAGGTGGCCTCCCAAGCTAAACGCTAAACGTAACACGACAATTTTTGTCCTCGGGACAGGGGCCATAGGCTTATGGTGGTTCGGAGGTATTAAAAAAACTTTCTTTTTTGTTACGAGGTAACAAGTTATAATATCGCCGCGAAAACTTTCCGTCGTCGTTCTGTTCCAGCGACTTTTTACTGCGGTCGAGTCGTAACTTGGTTGGAAGTTTCTGGTGTGGTGATGCGTGCCGACGGATTGACAATAATAAATGTATGGGGAAACAATTTTTTCGCCGCGCGTGAACACACAGAGAACCGACGTTTTAATATTCGCCCGCGCGATCGCAGTTCTCCCGGCCATTTTACGCCGTATTTAGTAATAAATGTACTACGACTGCAATTCAATAATAAACAATTGCACGTAACATCGATTGTTAATAACAATCAAATTCTCGTTATTAATTAATTATAATTGATTTCTGAATTACACTTACGCCGCTTCAACTGTTATTACTTATTATGTTAATGACTTATGCGGGCCCTGTTTCATTTGTCACAAAATGATGGACAATTAGCATAATTAGGTGCACAACAAATGTGCATTAATAGACTGTGCGGTGTTTGCAAAAGTTTTGGAAACATGATTGAGCTTAAATCGGTGGAATGGAACTATCTTGCTTTGAAATAATCAACAAAAGTTTATTAAAACTGTTAAAAATAGTAATAGAAGTAGAACAAGTTTTTTATAATTCATTTATAATTTTTCACTGGTTCGCTTGAAATCACTGAGCTCGTTTAAATCGTTAAGGTGCCCGAACGAGAGAAGTTCGAAGTCATCACGGCAGAGTTTTTAAAACCATCACATCGAAATTTATTCCTCGAGTAGCAGACTCGTTTCAGCAGCGTTGGAATATTCTACGCTTGGATATTTATCGTTTTGGAATGGGATTTTTAAAATGCAAATTCCAGCCTGATACTGTCACCCTGTCGTAGTTTAGAAAAAAAAATGCCAGTCAGATTGTTCGTTAATTTTGTATAAACGCAGTTTTGTGTAAAACATCCACCAAAATGGAGTTTTAATGGTCTCTCTTTCGGGGAACGGGTTACTTCCATCCCCGTTTCGTGTAAATTTTGCATTCTGTGTTCATGCAACGCCGGCAGAAAATGTTGCGTATATTGTTATATAATATTTTGTAAAAAGAGAACATGGTGCCGTTGCAAACATTTGACTTTACAGAATCAGTTGTACGTGAAAAATACAGCATAACATTTAGATTGCTTTTTGAACCGTGAAAAAACTAGCTGTATCGTAAATAAATTCCGGAAAACATTTTTGAACATTTTCCGATTTCCGTGATTCAACCTCTGAATAGTGAATACCGTGGATAGCATAAAACATTTTTGTTCTGTTCCATTCATTGTAGTCTGAATGCCACTGTATATTAACAACGATCCCATTAAAATTGTGCATACCGTTGTCATTCTAAAGACAATTTCATTTAGTCTTTTAAACTCACCGGAAAAATTGTATTGTTGTACAGGTTAGTCCATCTGAAGGAAGCCGTAATAAAAAAAGTGTGGCCTACATTTGTTTTATTCGTGCATTAACTGAAAATAGTATTTAGGTGATTACCTTTACGTGGACCTACACAGTAAAACTGCTATCGAGAAAATGATAAATATAAAACTATATTTGGAAAAATGTGGTTATGTCAAGGTTATTTAAAGAATGACCATAGTAAAGAATAATTACACAGTCACAGATGATAGAATCAAGGAAATTGTAATGTTGGTGGGTAAAAAAATATTTAAAAAGAAACTTTTCGCTTTCGATAAAACCGCACGAACCGATCTGTTATTTCTGAAAAAAAAAATGTACAAGGACCAAGAACAATCCGCTAGTTTATCTTGTTGTACTGCTGAGGCTGTTCTTAATTATACTTAAGAATTAGTGCAAAGCGAGAGGCAAGGAGAGAATGTGCCAGGGTGAAACGTGGACCGTTCGCCAGCAAGCTGTAGGAGCACGAGCGAAGCTTTCTTTTCAGTGTGTGGTGTGCGTTAACAGCGGAACTGTTTTCACTTCGTTACGACTGATCATTTCCATGTGACGCTAGGAACGTGTCTATTAGGGGTAACGTTGTTGCGTAAAACGGACTCATTAAAAATGTAAGACCTCGATAAAACGGGGAAATACGGCGGCGACACGTTATTACTCGGTTCCAGAAGATTGCGGCTCCGTCGGGCCTTAACTTGCGCCACGGCCTGGCTCGGTTACAAAGGTCGACGTTTTATGAGTTTACACGTAGTGTAAGATTCGCGATAGAGCGCGGAACGTGCTTCGCTCCTCTTTGCTTTTGCCCATGGATCCAAGCGACCGGCCCGGATCTCCTTTTCTAATACACATGGTGTTCCAATACAAGTTTTTATTTAAAATACGATAGCCCCTTACTAGGTTTTCTTGGGTTTACCTGTGTCTAAAGAATACAAACATTTTCTGCTGTAATGCAAAATTATACCGTACACTTTATTCGACAGATGCGTGCAGTGACGGATAAAAGTAATCGTAATCCTTTAAAACGCAATAACTTTTTTGAAACTGGTTTAAAAATGAATTGATTTTTTTTTTAAAGTTAGAAGAACTAGTTTATCGTACAACGACTGAAATACTTTTTTTTTAAATTTTGTTATTACTTTGTTATAGATCTCGCCAATTTATATACGTACTGAAAATAAGTAATAATAAAATTTAGAAAAAAGTATTTCAGTCTCATTTTACAGTAAATTAGTCCCTTGAACATTTCTCAAAGAAATCAAGTCGGTTAGTCCAGTTTTAAAAAAGTTATACTGTCTCTTAAGACAGTACACACCTCTTAAGGTGTGTGTTCGAAGACTTTTAACACCTACTGCAGGTGTTTTGAGGTCACACGGATCGATTGTAGAAGCTTATGGTAAATTAAAGTTTTCTGTGTTGGTGTTTCGATTTTTCATTTAAAAAAATTCGAATTAATTAATCTAGATGTAGGACCTCTGCAGACGACACACACATATGCTGATTCATATTTTGTATAGAAGTCGAGGTGTGTATTTCTCATATTTACATTAGCATAGATCTAGGCAGTTCCACTTACGCGACAGAGCAGGTTGGAGTCTGTGATAAGCTTCAAATGAAAAGCTCCTGTCGCCAGGTGTCAAGAGCTTTCGAGGGTTTACTTGAAAATATTATTTAACGAATGAATTACTGTTTCTGTATTTTAGAATTTGAAGTAGCAATTCAAAATATGAAAGAAGAAAATAATTATTTTGCAGCAAAAATCGCAGAGGGCGACAAGCAATTTTGTTAATAAAATGTCACAAATGAAGATTTTATTGTGAACTTTTCTTACACGATAGAATCAATATGTATTTCTTGGATAACTAAGAAAAATCTAAGAAAAATCTACTGCTCGTATTAAATTTATTGTACAGTGAAACACTTTTATGGCAGGTAATTTCAAGGTAGATATTTTTATAATGCCTTCAGTGTATATAATGTAATAATACAGTTAATAGGGCAATAGAATGCGATCGTATTAATGCCAACGGCGTATTAGGTAGCCTCAGGCCGCAGGCTAACCTTTATTAAACATTCTTGTTTAAATTCTTATCAGACAGTGAATATTGAGGAAGAAACAGCGAGTTATTTAAACCATTAATTTTGCATTGTAATTTAGAAGGAATCTTTCTGCCTAAGAAAATATTAGGTCGACCACAAAGTTTGCACAGTTTTCGAGTAACTAAAACAAAAATTGAACAAACTAAAAGGTTTACCTAATTCTAAACTCAAATTTAACCCCGACCTAACCCAGACCAAAAGGTCAATTTAATAATATTGCGCTCGACTCATCTAGCGACGTAAAAAAATCTTCCTGGCAAATAACGACGGCAAAATTAGTTTCCCGAAATTAATACGAGTATGAGATAAGTGTTAACTTTTCAGAAAGTTAAACAGCTACAAACTTTTCATTCAATGGATTTCTTTAAAGGGGACTTATCTCTTCTCTTCAAATTAAAGGTAATTTAAAGTGACACCGTTTACGCGACCGTGCACCTGGCTGTGTGATTTAAAGCAGCACTTTTCTTTCACGGCTAACCTGTAAGAAAATGTGAATATTCACCTTGACGTTCCCCGCTGTGTTGTAAAATCTCGTGGGAAATGTAATCGTAGCTTTCGTTAAAAAATGTACAAATATTTCATTCCAATAAAGTAAAGAAAGACCAAATAAACTCGAGGATTTTATGAAGTAAAACGGATTGCATGTGTTACAGTTGTGAAATACGATTGTTATGTAACGTTTCACGTAACAATACATCCGGTTCATCGGATTACGGGAAAACGAATCGCAAAGGAAAGAATTAAACGATGTATTTTGTGAAGATATCTTTTATAGCGAAATGGTCAAAAATCAGAAGTGATAGCCAGAGAAAAAATAAAAATCCAAGGCCAGATTTATATCTGGTGTGTACTCTTTTATCAAAATTATTATTGTATGTGTATCAACTTGTAAAGAAACTATGATTTTATTACTAGACTATCGACATTTATACTTAATACCTGTTGCCTGCAATGAGCCTCAGAAAATCAATTGTCCTCAGTAAATAATCTTTGAAAGCCATGCATAGATAAACAAATGATTCACATTTAATTATACAATTGACATACCAATCGATTCCTGTAATTTAGATTGGCATCGTGTGCGGTGTTCCGACGAAGCTATTCGGTCCCTCGTCGCGGCAGCGTAGTCTGCATTTTATCACTTAACCTCATTTTCTTTGGTTTCTCTTACTCACTTCATCACCGGATGCGCGAGAAACCAAGACGCTCCTCACGGAAATCTAACTCGTTTCTACTAAATTGAACATTGTAAATTTAAAATTGTCGTAACAATCATCTTACGAGATGTTAACCAAACACCTGCCGCGTCGGTCGCGTCACGAGACAACCGAATTCACAATCAGATGGCGTTTTGAAATTGCGTCCCGCCAGAAGCAACGCTGCGTATGCGCGTTGCAGATTATGCGCAATCGAGTGTCCTTCGACTTGAGCGATCAAGATGCTTACTGAAATTAACCTATCTGTGTTCTTCATCCAAGAAACGTTTTGAATGCACGAACTAGAAACCCGTACGAACATGAATGAACCATCAAGACTATCGCGACGCGAGAGGTAGCTTAGCAGCTATTCGCACAGCTGCAACGACAAACTGCATCGCGTTCTAAATACGTTCTATGGTATCGGTGCATTCTATACTATTGACTACTTATTGGAATGAAATATTTGTACATTTTTTAACGGAAGCTACGATTACATTTCCCACGAGATTTTACAACACAATGGGGAACGTCAAGGTGAATATTCACATTTTCTTACAGGTTAGCCGTGAAAGATAATTGGCGAGACACTCGAGGTGCGAGTCGGTCGACGAAAGTGTTGCGCCTGCGCAGATCTGTCGGACAGTTTAGAACCGGTTCAAACGCGGCTCCCTCGGAAAAATCATGTAATTTAATATGACGTATAATTTTGGATTGGAACCTCGCAGACAAAGTATTTCTATCGAGATTCAAATTATCTTTGATTGCCATGGGACACTCGTACGATGACTTTTAGCGACGGGTTTTCAACAGACAGATCGAGAGATCGGCGCGTGCAACTAAGACACTCTTTGGCGGCGCCATTTTGAATTGTTGTAGTGCTCAAGAGTTTGTGAATCGTGGGTGCTGCGTCATGGACGATTTTGCTGAATTTTCCGGACCAGTGGCGTGCAAGGTAGGAAAAAATGCTTCGCAATTGTGTTTTCTTGTATGCTGATTCAGAATACATAACTTGCAGCAGCTGTTAACCAAAATTTGTCCCAAAAATTGGGCTTCAATGGACGCTTAACCTCGGAGACCATTTTAGCATCAAGACACAAAAACACGTATAGTTCGTAAAATTGTTACGTTGTCAGCTTTCCCATTAACGTATATCTCCTTGATTCAGGTTGGATTCAATTTAAATGGTCGCGGATAGTCGTTAGCTAGCTCTTTGGAAGTTAATATCTGCCAGCGACGCCACGAGGTTTTACGGTCGTAACCGGCACGCGAATGGCTTCGTTTTCGTCGAATAGTGATAGACGTTGTACTCTGTTACATCGTGTACGCCGCGAGCTTCTAGACGAAACACACCGTCTATCTGAAATTAACATACACCAAGGGGTGTACAGGAAATACCGAGGTTCTGTTTTCTGTTTGGTATTTTTCCTTATACATATGTAGCGCGCACGGGAGTTGATTGCCTTGGCGGCCATATTGGTCCGAATTGGCGGGAATAACTTGAGAAAAAGAATAAGATTTTTTCTCTTAATGCTCTGTTTAAAAAAAAAATTATATTGTAAAAATAATACTATTGAATAGGGCATACTAGTTCTACTTCTCTTCACACTACAAGCCACGCGAATTTGATGCATCTTCCAACTCAATTTTCTCGAGAAAAAAATCTTAAATGAAAAAATATTATTCTTTTTTTCGACTTTTTTTTACATGTGGAATCACTACCCTGCCGGTTGTACCACGATTTTCGGTACAACCTGTATAAACAATGTTGGCGAAATGAGTTGTCGAGGAAATCGTGTCGATGAAAACATTGCCGGTGAAACAATTGAGTTTGAAAACTGCCCACTTTTCTTTTTAGTAGTTTGTTAGATAAAATTAGGAATTTGCATTAACATACGCACCTCGGTTAATGTAAATTGTTTAGAAACGTGTCATGGTTAGCCGACATGAGTGATAAAGTAATGCAATAACGTGTATCTTCACGGCACGCTCGCTGATAGTTTGGCGCAGTGGAAACATTTGAAGCCGCTCCAATACTGTTCCCCGGCTTATCAAATTCATTTGTGGGATATCAGGAAACTTCGCCTCCAGGGTATGTAACAAACTTACGTTTCGACTCAGTTCTCTCTCTCTCTCTCTCCCTCTCTCTCTCTCTCTCCCCTTCTCTCTCTCCCTTTGCTTGGCCCGATAGAATAAAGGAAAACTTTGATGTTCTCAATTACATGACTGAGCCACAGTTGTTCGGATGATACGCTTGTAAACGGTTGCCCCGATGACCGATAACTCGTTTACGAACTCTGTAGTCAAATAACTCCTGACGGCGTTCCATACTTTAAGGTACACTATTAATCCTAGAGCGCTTACGGTTTTGGAAGGTTTAAGGTCAGTTTAAGGCAGGGTCATTTCGTGTCGACATAAAAGAAAATGCTAAAAATTTAATTTAAATTTAAATTTATTATTTTTGATTAAAAACTTTTATTTCTGTTTGAAGTATGTTTATCAGTACTTATAATAACATAGCGTAAAACATCTAGATACATCTTATTGAAAAATAAGATATCAAAATCGTGATAATTAATGTTTAAAGAAAGAGACATTTAGCTTAAAAATACCTGTCGTACAAAGTTAATCGCATGCAACATATCTGTTTTATTTATTAAAAAAGTGTGCTCGTTTACTCTGAACGATCACGGTGCTGCAAACACATATTCAGCAAATGATATGAACTTCTGGAAGTTCCAGATGTTCCAGAAATTCCAGAAATTCCTGGAATTCCAGAAGTTCCAAAATTTCCAAATGTTGCAAAAGTTCGAAAAGTTCCGAAAGCTTCGATTGTTCTGAATCTTTCGAATGTTCCGATTGTTCCGATTGTTCTTATCGTTCTTTAAAACGTTTTAAAGACGTTTTTGTGCTATCTGAGTTAAGAACGTTAAGTGACGATCAGTTTTGCTGTAGTCAACGAAAAGTAGAATTCTAATGCAATTTGCATCGTGAGTGTGGTGGTAATTGACAATTATCAGAAAATACAGTTGGATCAAATGAAAATTAATTTAACAGCTGATCGAGTGGTTTAATAAAATAGTGGTGCTCGTTCGATCCACCGAATTATGTTTTCTAGAGTGAAAGGGGAGAATTTGTAATTTAAATTCTTATTAATGTGATTGGATATTGACTTTTTTTTATATTACATTTCACATGTACGATTGTAAATGATGACGCAAATACTTCCGTACAAGAAAAATCTAAATATAATATTAATATTTGGCAAGAATGGATTTTGCTTTTTGTCTACGTCGGGGTAGGTTTCTGCAGATTAATTAAAGAATTTATGAGGAACGAGTTTACAGATCCGTGTCTAACAAAAATTGGCTATTACCAGTGGTCATAATTCATCGATAGCCTGGATATGAATCTACCTGGCCAATTACAGTATTCCTGTTAATATAAAATTTAAAAAAGCCAATAAAGCAGATATTATTAATTAGTTCTGTTCGTTGAGAGCAGCCATCGTTAATATTTCATTCCGTGGACTTTTATTTACACATGGGTTTCTAGATGGAAACCATTCTGTAACTTTGATCATTAGTTTTTTCTACTCAATATAATTTCCCCACTTCCGCGGGATACGAGTTTTTACAGGATATAAAGTCCCGAAATCGTAATTCTCGCTGAATTTTACAGTCCGTGAAATGGAACCTCGTAATTCCATCCAATAAAAATATTCGAAAGAGTAACAAAAAAAAGGATGGGAGGATCTTAAAAAAAAAGTTCGTGCACAGTGTCGTAACCGAAAGCATCTTCTCTCGCGAGTCAACGCAACTTCTTCCAGTTCGACTGAATTTATGCACGTGCCTATTGTTTCGCGAACCAAATATTCATGGTGCAAGGTACTTGCTCGCTGATTCAAGTGAAAGTTTCATTTATTTAGGTATTCGCACGTTAAAATATTAGTATAGACATTTTGCAGATTTACAAGTTTGCCGTGAATGTTAAAAACGATAAGATAAATCGCGAAACCGTAACAGTAAATGCAACGAACATTTGCACTTGTCATTTTCCTTCTCGACGTTATTCTGTCCGTTTATTAATTGTAACCATAACTTATAATTGTATATTATAATTGTTATCGCACATTGTTTCCCTGAGCTCATATTTCACAAATAAAATCCGACGTAATGTTCATACGATGATACAGCGCTGTTTCGTGCAATGTGAATGCTATTAAATGCTCTGCATATAATCAAAGTTGGAAAATTCGTTTCTTCAAAGAGTATCATAGCATTTTTTTTAGATATCTGTGAGTTGAGATGTGCAGAGTCGTGTGTACAAAATAGTACGTTATTCAGCGTGGCAACCATGTAAAATATCAAGAGCAGAGGCATAGGATTAACGAAAAACGTGAAACCTAGAAATATTGTGGGCTGCGGATATCGCGCGCCGTTATCAAACTTAACTCGACCATAAATGCGCAAATGGCTTCATTAGTAAACGGAAAACACGCACGCGAGCCGGGGGGGGGGGGCAATTATTCCAGTAAAACCAGCAAAGTGGACGACGAAAGTTTGTTATTATTCGACCTTTCTCATTCGGAACGCACAGAGGCGCGCCGATTCAATATTTTCAGCCGCGATGTTCCGTAACAACCGAATTAAACCAATACGAATGTACGGGCGCACGAAAACAGCTGCGTTTAACCAAAAGAATCAAATATATTCGCGCGAGAGTTCAACGGATTAAATAACATTTCCGCAAGCGTTGCGGTCGGGAGCAGGCCGACGGTCGGCTAACGAGTACTGGTTTCATCCTGTCCTATGAAATCATCGTTATACCGTGAACTTCCGGCCGTCGTGCCGCGCCGTTTGCCTTCTAACGATTTTTACAACACTTTGCAACCTGTTTAGGCTAGCAAACTTTTCTTGACTTCACCCTTCAACCGTGTTTCACGCGTCTATATGACCCACATCGCATATTAGAATTATATAACTTTTTTGTTAGACTTCGTTACAGTCAAATTATTACATTTTTTCATGTAATAAGCTTAAAAACATTACGCAGGTATATGACCGTTATTAGTGTAAGTTTTTATGAACATCATAGAATTTTCATTCGATTGTGAAATACTTAGAGTGTGAAGAGAGTGAAAATCTATTTTTACTTATTTATTTATTTTTATCTCCACAGAAATTCAACACAATGACCATAATAGTAGTAATAATGAAATAATAATAATATGAAAACAATGGCTTCAATAGCTACATTCGGAAATAGTGATTTTCGCGATCTTTAATTGTTTGTAACTGATAACAACACGTTAATCGATTTTGATGAAATTTTCAGCATGCATAGTTACGGAAACCTACGAAACGCATTGTTTAAATATTCGTTGCAAGCTCAACTAAAGAAGTTGAAAAAACGTGAGTTTTTAAAATCTTTTTTATCATTCCAACCAATAACAAAATTAAAAAACCGTATTTTAGTCACTGTCTAGTAGACTAGTCCTATATTAAAAAAAAAAACTTCAAGTCATTTAGTCCTGTTTTGAAAAAGTTATCGAGTATAAAAGTGTACGAAGGGGAGCCACTGTACAAATTTGTGGCTGTAAGAAAAAACGCCGCATGTCACAATTTCAAAAATTTTAAGTTATTGCATTCATTGAACTGTTGCATATAGAATTTACATATTTATCCGAAGAAAACGATCGTGAAAATAAATTCTATTGACCGAAGAGAATTATGCAGTTTGAAACACCACGAAGCACTAACACGAAGCCATTAGTGATCAGAACTTCAAGCGACAATATCTCGGAAATGAAAACATGTGACATGCGACGTTCTTCGATACAACTACACAGAAGTAACCATCGTCGTGCAGTTCAGAAGATGTGTAATCTTAGCATTCCGCGTGCAACTATTTACACGCACAGAGGTCCGAGTGATTTGAAGGTTCATCAAGAAG